CATAAATATTTGTCAACTTACTTTAATAACATTCAACCTTCCTCTGGCCCACCACTCACCAGAGGGAGTGGGAAAGAGAGCTTATAGGATACGAGGGAACTGGGCCTGTTTAGAAATAGTTCTTTAGAGCAATTTGAATCTTCATTGTTCTCAGTTCACTAACAAATACCAAACATGAATCAGCAACTGCAGTCCAGTCTACTCGGCAGACACCACACATGAATCAACAACTGCAGTTCAATCCAGAAGAAACCTCCAGGTTTGCCAACCAGCCTGAGGTTGCAGAAGCAGCGAGAAGTCACAGGAACCTCATGAGTTCTCTGGCAAGTTTCTCTCTATGACATCACCACAAGCAAAGCTCAACAGCATAATGTAAGGTGAACCAATACATGGGTGTGGTCAGTGGAGACTAGGGAGGCAGAGCTAGGCAAACCGATGCTCGAGCTCCCACTGTCTGTGGGGTCATATTTATAGTCCTTCTAAACATGCATGTTCTCACGTGTCTGCTACAGCAAAACATTCTTTCACCTGTGTCTGCTTCAGCAAAACATTCGTTCACATGTCTGCTTTAGCAAAGCATCCTTTCATCCGTGTGCCCCAGCAGAGAGCATCATTTGACATAACTGACTTTCCAAAGAAACCAGAAGTTTCCACTTCACACATCCCTGTAGAGGTTAATTTAGTAAAGACATGATATTTTTCTTCCTTTTTAGTCTTGTCCGAAACTGTCTTTGTTACCCATGTGTAGAATTTGTGCCCATATTCCAGCTTCAACAATTATCAATATTTTACAACTTTGTGTCATTTAGTCTTGTGCACAAGTCACTTATATACTTGTTTTAGTATTTTTTTAATGGGATGTTTTAGAATACATTAAAACGGTTGTGCCGTTTAATGTGTATATCCAGCTGTGAAGGACCGACCATATTGGCATGATCACCAAGGTGTAAGGTGGGAATCTCTACCCTCACAGTTCAGACATTGTAAGTAGATTACATCATGGCACAGGTGACATCATAAATGAGACAGGTGCCCTTGGGAGAAATGCCCTAGTGAACTGTCTTGTTCTTCTCACTATAGGGGACACCATATGGCCATCTGTAAACTAGGACTCTAAATGTGCCAGCACCTTCAAATGTAAGTTTACAGACATCCACAACACACACACACACACACACACACACACGTCCACATACTGTTTGGTTGTTAGTATAAGCAGCGTCTGTATCATTTTTAGAGCTTTTAATATATAGCTATTGATTTGTCAACAGAATCAGATAGTTCTCTAGGATAATCTATGTATTTTAATAGGCCTTCTCATATTGGTTATTAATTTCTTTGTAAGTCTCTGAATGGCAGTCAGAACCCGAGGTTAGCATAAATTCAATGTAGGAGTTCTTTATGCAAGTACATTTCTCAACCCTTGTCTTCGTGACACAATTAGTCAGTGGGTTCAGGTGGTGTCAGCTGAAGCTTCCCTGTGAATCTTCCTCTGAAGCTTTCTCTTAAGGGATGGGCTAGAGCCATTGCCTAGGCCCGTTACCTCCTGTAGGTTTCCCACTTACAGGCTTGCATCTGTACCTGTGAGCTACGTGTTCGATGCTCTTCTCCTCACCAACTCTTTAACTTAAAAATACAGTTCTCGAGAGAACACGTGGCAGATGCTCGGACCGTGACCTGTTGCCTAAGCAGTCTAAACGTAGCCAGCCTGGGGTGGCTTTTCATCATGATGCCTGAGTCTCTGGAATCCTGAGGATTGTTTATGATTTAACAGTGTTTGTGTGTGAGAGCACACAGATGCCACGGTGTGTGTGTGTGTGGAGGTCAGAGGACAACTTGTAGAATTTGGTTTTCTCCTTCCACCATGTGAGTCCCCAGGATTGAGCCCATGTCTTCAGGCCTCGTGGCAGGTACCTTTACCTATTGAACCATCTCAAGGCCCACCCACCGTCACCTCCCCCCAGGTATATTTTAAAGCTCAAGTTTTTTGGTATATAATCGACATTCATTTTAAAGAGGTTGATAAACAAATGCATCCACATAGACACTGCCATAAGCATAACACAGAACATTTCCTGTGCCTACCCCGACCTCTTGCTCTTTAAAGTGAACCCGCCATCTCAACCACAAACAGCTATGGATCGTCTTTAACCACTTGAAGCTTACAGTTGCTGGTACTTTCATGTTTGACATCAGAAAGCATGGAGTCTTTTGTATGGGAATTTCCCTTTAGCATAATTCCTCAGAGGTTAACAATCTACATGGCTGCATGTATCAGTATCATTGGTTTCACTGAGAGGTGATTTTGATGTATACAGGTACTGTTGTTGTTACTGTTATTATTATCATTGTTATTATTATTCATGTCCAACCATTTAGACATTTCACTCTTGCATCAATAGAGCAGGGTCAAACAAAGGTTCTACAGATGTGCAGCTCTCTCGATCTCTCTTTCATGTGTGTCTGTGTGTGTCTATGTGTGTGTGTCTGTGTGTGTGTGTGTGTGTGTGTGTGTGTGTCTGTGTGTGTGTGTCTGGGTATCTGTGTCTGTGTGTGTGTGTCTGTATGTGTGTACTTGTGTGTCTATGTGTGTGTCTTTGTTTGTGTGTGTCTGGGTATCTGTGTCCGTGTGTGTGTGTCTGTGTACATGCATTTAGTTCTGCTCCGATATTCTGTCAATGCTAGCCACCACCACAGCCCACTGAACCTCCACTCTCCACCAGCTCAGAGCCTGCTGGGCTCTGTGGAGCTTGCTTTCCTCAAGTTAATTCTTATCTCACAGGACTCACACTTGCCCCACCTATTTCCAATCTATGAAAACAGTTCTTTTGTGTACATTTAGTTTACTTTCTGGTTACCAGAAGCAGTAATCCTTCTTGTACAAAGCGAAGATCCCTGAAGCTCTTTTTGCAATTACGTGGGGTTTCTTTTTATAATCAACTTTACTAAGGTAAAATTTATATACATTACGATCCAGAGTTTAGGCGTACAGGTCGTTGGCTTTGACAAATGTATGCAAACGTAATCGACACCCTCCCCTCCCCAGAACCTCCCTCTTCCATTTATATGACCCGTCTCATCTGCACTTCTCTATCCTAGAAGCCACGGAGCTGGTTTTGTTGCTACAGATTAATTGTGCCTGTTTCAATATTTCAAATAGATCACCTCTCCATCTTGGAAGCCACCAAGCCGATCTCGGTTGCTATGGATTAATGTTATACTTTTCCAGATATTGGGAGCCAGTTTCTCTTTTGTATCTAGCTCCTCTCACCAGCAGGGTGTCTGGAATCCATTCATGGGCTTCACGCATCGCGTTTCCTTTATTACTAAGCAGGATCCTCTTAGGTGAATAAATCACAACCTGCTTCCCAATTCACTTACTCACTGGCCAGACAGCGTGTTTCCAGTCGAAGACTGCTATGTAAAGCTGCCATGAGCATGCCTAGGCAGGTCTTCAATGAGCCTCTTCTCTTTCTTCTCCCTTGAGATGTGGCCAGAGCCTGCAAGTTGCTGTCTGTAAGAAGCCTCAGCCCAATTTAAAGATCCAGTCTCATCTGCAGGTCAGACCTCCTTTCCTTGTACTCTAGGGATGTGGGGAAGAGGGCAGAGAGTGATGGCCTGTCATTCTTCTTCTCCCATTGGTCGGGTACAGTGGGAATGTGAACATGCATGTGTACATGTGTGTATGGGCGGTATACGTGTTCACGCACATGTATGTAGTAGCCAGAGATAAGCATGAGGTGCCACCTTCAGCAACTTTTCTCCTTGACTCCTCAAATGGAGTCAGTGTCTCCAAGGCACTATCAAGAGTACCAGAGGACCACAGTACATGCCACACTAAGGGCCCTTCATGTGGTTAGTTCTGCAAGCTCCTCCCCATCCGTACTTTTTCAAGATAGCACACCAACTGTACGAGAGTGTCACGATGTCCTCAGCTCCAGGGGCAACAAAGCTCTGTTGCTATGCACTTCACCGTCTCCCGGTGGGGAGTGGAGTGCCAGTTTCCCTTATGCGGCACCCCACTTTCTGTAGTAATTGTCTTGGAGCCTGTGCCCTATTTGTTTAAATCCTGAAGACAGAGAACTTGTGCATGGGAGAAGCTCTGAAAGGCATCACTTCCTACTTAGAGAACAATGACTCACTTCCCTCTCTCATCTCCCCACTAATCTCTTTAGAATAGTTTGTTTGCTGGGTGGTGATTGTGAGTAGTAGGGGCTGCTTAGCTGCCTTTCATAAACTCCCAGGGGATTACTGGGCCCCAGTATCCAAAGCTGTCTTTAGACTGTGGAATATTACTGCTTCTTATTTTCGGAAGGATCCCCAAGGAAACAGTAAGAGTCCCACCCAGTATCTTCTATAACCAATAGTTCAACTCTACTCTCTGCTGCAGCTAGCCAAACATGAAGACAAAAGTTGACTCAAAAATAGATATCAATTCATCTTGTGCTATAGCCAATCCTTTGAAAATCTAAATAAACTTTGAAATGCACCTAACGAGGCTGGAAGACTGGAAACAGTGTGGAATGCAGTAACAAATGCCCTCTGTGCAAATGTGCTCGGTCACGAATGGGAGGACAGGGTGCTTTCTTTTGGTTTCCAAGAAGCCAGAAAGGGGGTGGCAGATTGGGTAGAGGAGAGCTAGAAGCAGGGGGAGGTAGAAAAGAAGAGATTGGTTACAAACAGTGAGGGACTCTTTGCTTTCATTCTTGGCTCCCATGGACACGGCCTAGGAGCACCGCAGGCCTCTCTGGGGAGGGCTGGACGCTGGCAAGCTTCCTTTATTCTCAGAACAAGTTAGAGATGTGGCCTCTTCGAGAGGGACTGGTACCCATGGCTCGAGGAGGCAACATTCCTAACCAGGGGAAGCAAGAGGAAAAGACAGAGCTTTCAAATGTAATCAACCTTCTCCTAGCAGCCCCTTTCAAAAGTCCCCCACCCCTCCTCTTTACACAGGCTCACACATTTAATGAAGAAAACAAATTCAGCATAGCAGACATAGCCTGCCGCAGCAGCCAAAGAAACACCCATTTTCCCAGTGAGAAGCAGGGTTTGCAGGTAAGTGCTACCCACCTTGCTCTTGGGTGAAGCTTTAAGCTGTACTCTAGAATCTAAATCAAGCTGACTTGAGTTAGGCTCTTAAATTAGAGCTGCCTTGTGTCTGGCATTACTGCCCCTCATCCACCCACTTTTTTGACATTTCAACTCTTTTTTTAAAAAAAAAAAAAAAACGTATTCACTTTACATTCCACTCACTGACTCTCTCCCTCTCACCCCTTCCCACAATTCTTCCTCCCCTCCCTCCTTCCCCTCTGAGTGAGTAACCCTCCCCCAACCCCTATCCTCCCTCCTATCCTGGCACTTCAAGTCTCTGTGAAGCTAGGCACTTCCTCTCCCACTGAGGCCAGACAAGGCAGCCCAGCTAGAAGAGGATATCCCACAGACAGGCACCAACTCTTGGGAGAGTCCCACTCCTTGTTTGGGACCCACATAAAGATCAAGCTGCACATCTCTTACATCTGTGCAGGCCTGGGTCCAGCCTGTCTATGTTGTTGGTTGACGGTTAAGTCTCTGAGAGCCCTGAGGATCCATGTTTAGTTGACTCTGTTAGTCTTCCTGTGGAGTTCTTACCACCTTAGGGGCTGTAATCCTTGCCTCCTATTCTTCCAGAAGAGTTCCCAAGCTCCATCCACTGTTTGGCTGTGGGTGTATGCCCTTCTTTAATGCTAATCTTTCCCTGAATTATGACCACCAATGCCTTAGAGAGAGCAAGTAACCTCTATCCTGCATGTATTCTGTGTTGTAGCACTGAGGTAAGTATTGGCAGGGACTCATGTTAGGTCTCAAACTTAACATATCAAAGATGTGTTCCTTCCTAGGAGTGTTGTTGGGCTTAAGAAGGTAGAAGTGGGGGTTTGGATGTGGGGACTTCATCTGACTAGGCAGTTTAAAATTTAATAAAATTAGATTTCAAACTAATCGGTGACCAATAACCAGAGACCACCATCCTGGCCTTGCTCTTTTAGATTATCTGTGGCATCTGGAAGACACTTCCTTTACTGTCACCAACACATGAGGAAGATGGACAGAAACATGGTGAGGGGACCTCTGTATAAGCATTTCGACTTGGAAAGAAAAAGTGCCAGGCAAGCTGAAGCCAGACTCAGCCTTAGACTGCAAAAGCTGGAGGTCATCTGCCTCTATCACATGAAATCGCTCGCCAGGGAGAAGAGGCAGCTTCAGAAAGAACTGCAGCGCCTGCAGCAAGGTAAGGCCCCTTGAGGGGCAATAGGCCCCCACTTCCGGTCCTAAGGAGCAATCTACAGGGGGAGGTGGGAGAGGGTAGCAGACCGCGCCTCACAGTGGGAAGTGAAGTGTTTGTCTCTTGCCAGGGTCCTTCGGGGTCCGGGATGACCAACATGACAACATTCTCCATCTCACTGTGGATTCAAGCAGGCTCAATCCTCCTGGTCCTCCACCCTGTCCCCAGACTCCACAGCTCCCCCTGCTGCCTGGTCCCCAGTTTTCTTGAGCCGACATTTCTCAAGTTTCACTGTAATCATCTTTCCAGTTTGTTCTCTTTCTAGCTTCAAGCGTTTCTTGAAGAAAGCTTCCTGCTCTCAGTTGTTTGAGTCTTCACACTGTGTTCTCTTCCCTCTATCAGAGCCATCTTTCTCTTTGGGGTCTGTCGGTCATTTATCGGATGGCTAAAGTATAAGCCACGCCCTCACCCATTTTAAGAGAGGAAAGAAAAACAGAACACGTTTCTCTGGGATTTTGACCTCAGTTTCTTCTGATGAGGACGAGGCCTGACAATGTCCATCTGGTGAAATTGTCTGAGCTTTGAGTGAGGGATCAGGGACCACCTAAGCACAAGGCATTTGGTTAGGATTTGCCAGCTTTAATGTACTCAGACCAGCAGCACAAAGTTATTTCAGAATGAAGCCTCTCCTGCTGCCTTGTTGGAAGATGTTTCCGTCGAGTGGTTTGTAGAAACCTCCACTTTTTTCTGTTCAATAATTAGGTTTCGACATTACTTCAGAATCACACTCAGCTTTTCAGGACATTCTTCCTGACTTAAGCCAGGTGCAGGAACTCAGGATCCTCTTCTGGATAGGGTGTGGCCCATTTGGGACAAAAGCCAGCTGACCTGTTTAAGCGCAGAACCTTCCATGTCTACATAGTTTCAATGGCAGACACACAAACCAAAAGCACTGTCTAAACACTGGCCTGGAAATTCTAATTCTCAACTATTTCTAACTACATAATGGTCTCTAGCTTCCTTGAGCTTGAACAATGACTCTGTCTGAGCTAAACTCTGTTTTCAATTTCCCTGTCTACAGTAAGGGTTTGAGCCAACTTGGAGTAAGTACAAGGCTGGAAAAGCATCTTAGAAACCAGTTGGTTGGTTCTTACTTTAATTCTCAGAAAGAAATTCTCAGCTGAGAGAGGGCACCCATGTGCAAGAGAGCTGTAGTTGCCCCTGCTGCTTAGAGAGCTTGTCTAAGCCACAGGTGTGTGGAACGGGGGGCCTGGAGCGAGAGGCACACATCAGAGGTCAAAGTCTCCCGGTTCTTTATCACTGAAGGGTCAAATCAGAGAAAAGAGAAGGGAATACTGTGTGTCCTCAAGACACTGTATTCAGCAACAGCTTTCAATGATGTATTCAATGTAACTACTATCCCAAAGATGCAACTGTCTGCCCGTTAGTGGATTGCTTAGAGTACACATTACTGGCCTTCATCTTGGAGAGCAGGATGAGTTGGTAGAAATATTTTAGGCTTAGGATTGAAATTCACCGTCCTTTTCACTGATTCTTAGATGGGTTATCTTGGCTCACTTGCTTTTGCTCATTGACTGGTTGGTTATCTGGTTCTTTTGTTTTGTTTTGTTTTGTTTTGTTTTGTTTTGTTTTGTTTTGAGACTGAGTCTCACTACATAGCCCAAATTGGCTTCAATGTCAGGATCTCTCTGCTTCAGTCTCCTCAATTCTGAGATTACAAATATGTGCCTTCACCCCTAGCTGTGGTCACTCTGAGCCTGAGATGGAAATTTTAGAAAGTATGGTCCCTCCACTGTGAGATGCTTATTTACATTGTCAGGTAGCTGAGTGTTTATAAGATCAATATAAAAAGAAATAACCCCGTGTTTTTATAAATCTCATTTAAAAATATCCTCACTGCTAAAACGAAGTTATTTCTACAGTAAGGAAGGAGCACGGGAAGCCTCCTGCTCCTGTTAAAAGGCTCAAGCGTTGTGTGAGCAGAACCTAGGAGCAGAAGAGAGAGGCGATGAAGGAAAGGAAAGTTGCCAAGCAATGCATAGCAGGGTACCAATCGACCATGCTTGGCAGAAAGGAAGGGTGTGTGCAGAGGGATAGAAAGAGTATGGTTTGCCACAGATGGCTCCGTATTGCTGAAATGCTCAAGCAGTTACCATGCTAACCAGGCAGTGGCCCGCTGAAGGTCACAAGGGTGGACCCTACCCAACAGGGACTGGGTGCAGGGCATTCCATGTGCACGGTTTAGAGACATGGCTCTGACTACGGTGCTTATGAAAACAAAATAAAGCTTAGGACACAGCCAGACTAGACCTGATAGAATTCCAAATACAGGGCTCCAGGTAAAAGGCTTAAACTAGAACACTGACAGGAGAAGAAAATGGAGAGACCAGTCTTTCAAGACATTGGGAAAGTAGAATTATCAGAGTTGCATGACTCGATACGTCCAAGCATAAAGGAAACCAGAGCATACTGCCAGGCTCAAGGTAGTCCATCAAACATACAGGCTAAACGGTATAAGTAGGCAGATACGATGCCATGCTGGTATGGTGAAGACAGTCAAGAAAGATGACGCCACAGAGGAAAGATATGTTCATTTCCAAGCCTACTGGCTCTGCTGTCTCCACTGTAGACTGCCTAGAGAGCGAGTGGACTGCCTAGAGAGCTAGCAGATCCTTTTTTGCTTTGTTTTAATTAAAAAACCTTTAGTTTATTGAAAGTGAGTAAAAACATAGAAAATATCTCAATGCAGCCCCAAGGAGATAATAAAACAAAGGACTCCAAGAAGTGACCCCAAGTGTTTTATGTGACATCCATGTCCCTTGAATGGTTCTGATTCCTTAACCCCTTTGCCCAATACATTCTAACCACAATTGGATACTTCTCAGGAGGGGAGTGTCCTGGTTTTTGTTTGGTAGTGGTGGTTTGATACGTGTTTGGTTGTTATTCTTGGCTGGGATTTCTGGCTTGAGTTTAGTAGGGGGGCAGTTGGCCTAGTTCTCAGGTTTGAGTCCAAGGCCTTTTTCATGTTTAGCAAGCAATCTACCACTAAACAACCCCCCAGCCTTAGCCAACGTAACTTTAAGTGATTCCCATTCAAACACAAACCAATGCAAGGTTTTCCATTCCAAATGACTCAGTCTTAAATGCCTTGAAAACTAATAGGGTCAGTGTGTTCTCTTCAGCTGTGACTACAGGGTCCCAGAACATCCCCTGGAAAAAATGCAAAGTTCACTGAATCCTGGCCTCAGGCAGTTGCAAACCCTTGCCATGGGTAGAAGGCAGGCACACAACTGTAGTAAACAGACAAAATGTTTATGCCCAGTTATTTTCTTTTTTAAATGTTTCTGCCTGCCAAGTAAAACATTAGAACAAAGCCCACCAGGTCTGAGGGAGTTGCAACATCTGATCTTGGTGTCTAAATCCTCTCTGACATGTTCTAGGCAAACAGTCAGACCTGTGGAACCTTGCTGTTTCCATCTACCATGTCAGAGTATTGCAACATGTGAAGGAAATCAGTACATCCTCATATACCAGCTCTCCGAAAGTCCAGACTGCAGCTTCCAGTTTCCTCTCCTATTATACCCATTTTCTAGGGCTGCACAGTAAAGTCCCAAAACCACACAGCTCAATCCATGTACCTTCATTGTGTCAACATCTGAAGCACAAAAGTCAAAATGGGCATGTGAGCAGGGTTGGTTTCCTTGGTTGTGAGGCAGGAGCAGGCTTTCTATCTTTGATGCGTAGATGACAGGTCCCTTCATCCTGCCCAATCTGTGTGTCTGTACAAATTGCTGTTGTCATAAGGACCCCATCACAATGTCCGGACCTACCAAAATGTCTTCTTATTCCTTTGATCATCTCTACAAAAAGCCTATTTGTAAGCCATGTCATAATTGCAAACTAAGGACTAGGACCCCACCGAATGAAATTTTACATAATTCAGTCCACATTAACTTATTTTAAACTTTATTTTATTTATGTGCATATGTGTCTATTTGGATCTCTGAGTGACTGTATGAGCACATGCATGTCCAAATACTGACAGAGACCAAAAGAGGGTGCCCGGTGCCTTGGAGCATCTTGGATCCAGACTCTTGATCTTCGTGACTGAGCATCGAGCACTCTTAACAGATGAGCCGTCCTTCAAGCCTGTTGTTTGTTAATTTTTTTTTAGTGGATATCATCAATAAAAGGTTGTCTTCTTACGTGGGGCATGAAATTCAGAAGAGATCAAAAGATGTTGTCACCTTCTCGCTACAAACAGGACAGAGGCACACAGTCTCAGAGCCTAAAATTAGGTAAGAATATGATTAAGTGTTTGGGCATGACACTGAATCCCACTTCCCAACCAGTCTCTCTAAAACATCCCCGTCCATCTGAGAACATTCTTCCCGCTCCTTCCTAGACATGTACACTCCTGCCCCTCGCCCTGTACCCTTTCTCTCCCACTTTACCACCTCAACCGAAACCACACTGAAAGGAACCACAGTCTAATAACCAGAAAGGTTGAAGCAGGAACCTCTTAATTTTTCAAAGACATTTATGTCTTCCTTTTCATCTCCCCACTCCAACTCTGCAGGATACTGAAAACCAGTATTACCCAAGAAGTTAAAACTAAGATTCAGGTGCCCTCTTTACATGACCCTGCCCTCAAAGATGCCCTGAGAAGCCAAGAGCGTCTTCCATCTCAAGGTGAGAGAACCACCTACCGCAAGGAAGGGAACTCACAAGCCCAGGAGGGAGAGCCGGCAAATACACCGAAGTACACGGACCCCAACAAGGATGTCTCTGTCTCATGTCACAACCGACAGGTATCCATCAACAAGACAAAAGACAGCCGCGTGTCCAGCCCAGATGGTGAGAGAAGACCAGCATCTACTAATGAGACTAGATCCAAAACCGCCAATCAAAAGCGCCATGGCGATGCTGATGTACAAAATCCCCACAGCTCCATAGACTATACAGGAAGCTTCAAAGATGAATGCACAAAGCCAACCTTCCTAGAGCTGTTCACAAAGGCCAAAAATGCCCACTATCTCCGCCACAGGGTGCCCCCTGAGTCTGAGAGATTACTTAGCATCGGGGAGATATTTGGACACAGAGAATACTCACTACCCAGAGCAGGGGGAAAACTGTGAAAATGGTACCAAGTCCCTTCCTCTCTGGCTGTGTAATGTCGCCTGACCAGAAGATAGTCTGTAATCACTATGGAAATGTGACCCATCAAATAGCTGCCATAGCAACGCACAAAAATAAACAGAAATGCATGACAAACTTTGCAACCTCAGGGCCCCTGCCCTTTTATATGGTCTTTCTTTTAATAAACAAGGCTATTATGAAAAGGAAGGAGAGGGAAAATATTATAAAAATATTTTAAGTTGCAAACCTCGGCTTATTTTGAAGAAAGAAAGTCTTCTTTGTCTGAAAGTCTGTCCTATATAGGAGATGCTTACAGTGCCACCTGCTGGCCAAATGGCATAGCTGTTTGCCTAGGTTTCCTTTCTTTGGAGGTTTGCATAGGAACGTAACTGAAATCATATACAGTGAGTGGCATGGTCTCCAAATAAAACCTGTTCATGCCACAGCTCTGTTCTTTTGAAGTGTCTCCTCTCTTCTCCACTTTGTTTCTCTTTCCTTCCCTCTCTCTATTCCCCTCCCCTCCCCTCCTCTCTCCTTCTCTTCCCTCCTTTCCTTACTTCCTTTCTGAATAGTTCCATTGGGTTTCTCTCTCCCCATTTCCACCTTAATAGCAAACATTTTTTGGATCCTAATGGAAGAAATGAATGTGTCCTTTCGTCTTCTCCCTAATAAAAATATCTTACGGCCCCCAGTACACTTTCAAATCTATATCAGATTCAGTCAGTAATAGTTTTACAGTAAAATAAGAATAATTTCCATTTAAAAAGCATTGTTTTAAGCTAATGTGATGCCACTTGTTTATAACCCCAGTATCCCAGTATTTGGGAAGCTGAGGCAAGAGGATTAACAGGGACCAGAGAGAGTTACACAGTGAAACCCTGTCAAGAGAAACTCTCTTAGAAAAACAAAGACCACTGTTTTAAGTAGGTCAGCATAACCTGGGTCCCACTGTAAATGGATTGAGTAAACTTAGTCCCCACCCAGATGGCCCAAGTTTCACAATTAAAACAAATGGCGTCGTTTGTCATCAGAAGACAGCAGCTCATGATTAGTGTGTTTAAATCCTGTTGCTTACCTACTACACACCGAATAAAAATGTCACTTTTATCATTTAATTATTACTTATATTGACTTCATTAGAAAAACTAGCTTTTACTTTTAAGTCCAAGATCAAATAGCAACTGTTAAATTCAAGTCCTCGACCCTATAGCAAACTTGGACCCAGAGGAATAAATTCAGGACTTAGATAAGTGTTTGCAGCTACTTATTTACTTAGAATTAGTTTGGGTTGTTTTATCTTTTTGGTTTTTTACTTTTGTTGTATTTTTATTTTTGCTTTTTTTTTGAAACAATGATTAAACGGTGCTGTCCCGAGTTGGCCCTGAACTCCCAGGTTCAGTGATCCTCCTGCCTCACCCTCCCAAGAACCTGGGATTGTAGGCTCTTATCCCACCAGAGCTTATTTACAACTGGACTAATATATTTGTTACAGTCTAGCTTGAGGACATCTTGAAGAATCAAAAACTATTTATATCAAAAATGATAAAGGACCCAATCATCTAATACTAAAGCTCCTAGGGGTTAAATTAATTCGAATTTAATGACAAAGTATGAATTAATTGCACTTAGTTTAATAACACTATTTAATTCCCATTTGCGATGCCTGGTGTTTAAATTCATAACTCATAATAGCTCCCATTTTCCAGCATCTCCTGCTGTCCAGAGCTTTCCACACAGCATCCCAATTGCTCCTCAGAACTCTGCAAATGGTTTTCTTTTAGTCCTCAGTTTACAGATAAACAGACCCAAGCAGAAAGCATCCTCTGAGTCAGGTCTACACACTTTCCTCTGTCATGCTAATTCTGTCCACCTTGTACCTCCTAGTTGAAGACAAAAGCTTGGCTTGGTCTTGCAAAAAAAAAAAAATCAGTTTTATTAGCCCAGCCTTTGGTCTTTAATGGCAAGGCAATAGTTTATAGTAGAAATAGCATAAATTTCTTTTCTTTTAATATATTTTTTAATGGGGAAGGCAGATCAGGGACAAAACTCAATGGTTCACAAATTATTTACACTGGTCATGAAGGCAAGGACTCCCAGAACAAAGAACCATCTTTGCAAACTGCCCAAGTATTGGGGAGAGGTCTGTTCAGTCTCCGCTCCCGGATAAGAAAGGAGCTTTCTCCTTCACCGTATTACCCAAATGCCTTCTATTCGGAGGGCATCTACTCTTTGCCTGGAGGCAGAGGCATTTGGACATTCACAGAGGTGGCAACTGAGCTCCTCTCAACCTTCCCTAAGGTCTAACACAGAAACTCCATCAGTTCTGCAAGGAAATCTTAAAGCTGATCAAGAACAACAAAAGGTGGCATCTAAGGAGAAGATGGCTCAGTGGGTAAGGAGCTTGCTGTCCAAGCACAGAGAGCTGAGTGTAGATTGCTATCATCTACATAAAAGCCCTGGGGTGACAGAACATACATAATCCTAGCACTGTGGGGAACGGGGAGGGAGGGCTGAGACAGATAGATCCCGGGAGCTCACTGAGAAATAGCAGGGTTCTGTGAGACTCTGATCAGGGAAGGCACTGGACATGAACTTCTGGCTTCCACACCCTCCTGCATGAGTAAGCAAGTCTACACACAGGCAACACCCAATGAGAGAATCTATACAAAATTAAAACATTTACAGCAAAAAAGAAAGGAGTACCAGGACAATTGTAAGTCAGTCAGATAACTGCTACTGTGGGAGAAAACAGGAACTGTGCTGATTCCCCCTCACCACTCTCAGACAGTTCAGTTCCTGAGGCAGAGAGGCACATGTTGAGCCACAGTCACTCCCAAGGCTGCAAGATCAAGGTTGAGGAGGCCTGCCTGGTCCGTGTGAGGCCCTGTCCTAAGAAAGTCTCTTGCTCAAATTTTTAAAAAAGACATGTATTTAGTACAAAGTCTTCATCTCACTTGTGGCTTGGAATATGGATTGCTTGAGATTGCTAGGAAGAAAGGTTTCACCTGGTCGGGTATAAAACACTCAAAAGGTCTCCATTTTCCCCACCACTACTATGAACAGGTTGCTGTTACAGTCCCTAATAATGGCTATCTGTCAATTACAGTATAAATTAACATTGATATAATTAGTCATGTTATTTTGAATGGTTTGAGTTTAATTCTATAAAAACTGTTGCATGGAATTGAGCCACAGGAACTCTCATCAGACTCTTAAGTAACACATATGCATTTGACCCACCCACATTGTCATGATCACTGAAGAGAGAAACTCTCAATTCAAAATTTAACCTATGATAAACTGAAAATGTACGGAAGCTATGTATAAAGATAGTTCATCTTCCAACCGGCAATGAAAACCTTTTTGTGGATTTTTGCTGAGGACTCTGCCTGTGGTGCAGTGGAGGAGACAAAGGGTGTTAAGTTGGCCAGATGGTGGTGCCTCATGGCAGGGGGAGAGGACCAGACAGCAAGCAAGTGCACTGATCGACAGTACCTGTCCCTTCTTAACTTTCTCCTGAACCCAGGAAAAAGGACACTAATGATCAGAATGTCCAGCGAGGCTGCTCATGGGCCTCTCACTTTTAAATTTAGTTCAACATGAGACTTAGTGATGGATCAGCCGTTAGGGACCCAAGGATTGTGGAGAAGCGATGAGTTCTCTGTCTCCTCTCCCTGATGAAAAGAGAGCTTTCACCTTTACCTCAGAAAGCCTAGAGTACGTGTTCAGCATCTCAGAGTTAGTAGGCCTCAGAAGCAGGATGCAACCAGGAACCCAAGCCTTCTGAATCCCCCACCACCACCACCACAGTCAGTTGCTCCAGCAGGCCCTGAGAGCCTGCAGCCAGCCAGTCAGTGACCTCCTGAAATATGGAGGCTGTGATAGGAGCCAGACAACAGCCACGGAAGCTGTGAGTGTTGAGTGGATCCATCAAAGAAAAAGAGAAGGCTTGGACTTAAAGAAGCAGAAAAGGCTTAGAAATATATATGTGCGGGCTACAGAGAAGGCCCAGCAGTTAAGAGTACTGGCTACCAAGAACCCCGTCTCGATTCCTAACACCCACATGGCACCTAACTATTCTCTATAATCCAAGTTCTAGGGGATCCAACTCGATCCTCTGGCCTCTATGCATTGTTCACATATAGGTCACAGGCATGCAGGCAGGCAAAATACCCACCCACATAAAACAAAAATTTTTTAAATATATAAATTGAGCTTTACAGGCTATATATAAGAGCTCAGATTGGCATGCTTTCCTTATGCTCCATTTTCTTAGAGAATATGAACACATCACGCACACACACACGTGCACACATGCACACACACACACACACACACACACTCATCACTTTCTTTAGGAATAAAAGTAAAGAGACGTGCCCCCATGGTTTTACAGTGCCTCACTATCAAAGTCCACAGCGGCAACATTGTGACTCTAGTGTGGCTAGTGGGAGGTGCCTGTTTTGGGACATGTTGGTGAATGGTGATCCTAACACAGTTTGGGGTTGGTTACTCTTGCTGTACAACCGAGGCTAGTCTCAAACCCTCAGTCCTGCTTGCTGTCCAGCCTCCTGAGTCCTTGAGTTACAGGTGTATCCGGTTACATATAGCAATTAGATTTTTTTTTAAGTTCCAAAAAATTTAGTACACATTTTGCCCATGTTTTTATCCAGGTACATCTTAAAAATAACAAACTGCATAAGTCGGGTCCTAAATGTAAAAGGAAACGAGTCAGTAAAGATTTGGATTAGAAAGAAAGGTACTTGAAGGAAATGCACAGAAAGAGAACTGGGCAGAGCCCAGCCTGGCAGCTTCTCTGAGGATCTCTAAGGACACAGGATAGGCTACCTCACTGCTGACCCTATCCCTGGCAAACTGAGCCTCCAGTTTGCGCACAACATGCAGGTCTGAGCTGGCTGCCCCCATTAGCTTGTGTTCATCCGGAGCAGAAGCACTACCTAATGGTGCCCTGTTCAACAGTGAACAAAAACCCTGCTGT